GGGGGGGGGGGGGGAGGAGGGCGGCAGCCACACAGGCGCTCACCTCTGTCTTCCTCTTCCTTGCAGGGATCAAGCATGAGTGGCAAGCAAACGGCTTAGAAGATATCAAAGACCGCCAGAGCCTAGCGGAGAAATTGGGCGGCAGTTCCGTCATCAGCTTGGAGGGCAAGCCCGTGTGAGACCCCCCCTTCCAGGTCCCCTGTCGTGCCAGTGTCTCTGAAGCTTCCATGTTAATGGCCCCATGCTACTGTTGGGGGGTTGGGGGGGGGTCTCCTTTTCAGTTCCATTCCAGTTTTCTGCCTTCTCCATCTCCCCAGCCTGGTGCTCTCCTTCTGTACAAGCAGCTGGCTTGCAGCCTGCAGCTGCTGTTGAAACTTGCCAAACGTGCTACAGCTTTTTCACTCTCCTCTCCAGCTCCCTTTCCTTCTCTCTCCCCCCCCCCTTAAACCCTTGAGGTGACATTCCTGAGGGGGCCTCCATCCTTGGCTTCTTCCTTTGCCCCGTGGGTCCATCTGCTTCCTCCATTCCACTCCCGGTCAAGGACGGGGAGGTGGGTGAGCATTGAAAGGTTGGGATAGGGACCCTGATTCCAGAATTAGTCCATTTCCAGTGTGTAAAAAAAATTTTTTATTGGTCTATGTGTGTATTGAGAAATTGTGGAATGGAAACTGCATTCCCAACCCTCCCCCCTCCCTGTGATTCCCCCCCTTTCTTACTGCCATCGTGGCTCTGTGCTTGTCTGTAGTACTGTGTACAAAATGAGATATTGTGGAAAAGTTGCACCCGTCTCTATGTTGGGGTGGAATTAACAAAATATGGAAGCAACACCAAGAACCTTCAGTAATAAAAAAAAAATGCTACCTTTTGCGTGTTGGGTCGTTTTTTTTTTCTTCATCTTGAGCTTTGGGGAAGGGGCTTAAATTGAATGCTGTGTCTCATCTCAGTGTTTGGCTCACCTTGAGTTAGCGGGATTGTTGAGCCAAATCCTGCGTCTGCTTGTGAGTCGGGAGGTATGCAACATTTCTTCCCTTTTTCTCCCCAGTCCAGTTTTCTGTCCCAGCTCTGTAGCCATTTCAGTTCTGAAAGCTCGTTTTACGTTAAAATTCTGCCCCGTCCCACTTTGCGCGTAAAAAATGGTGGATCATTGGATGATCCGGTGGATCATTCCTTTTCTCTCTCTTCCTCCATCTCATCCCAATTTAAATCCTACATTTGTTTAACCACGCATTTGATGAAGTGAGCTGTGGGTCACACGGGTTTGGCCTTCTAATAAAATTTGAAAAGGTGTTCCCGGTGTTTTGATTTTTCCGTAAATGGTAAGTTTTAGGCAGGCAAGGGGAAATTCACAAGTTTCTGGTGTGGTTTCCTTAGGGGTGGACATAGTTAATATCTAACCAGGCAGACTTTGGGGTTGGGGCAAAATCTCCAGCAATAATAGCTAATCGAGGTTACTCCCTTGTACTCTTAATGATCAGCGAGCCATCGCATTTCACAAAACAGATTTCCCCGCAGGCTGACTAGAAGATCACATCCGTCTCTGTTAAGATGGGTACAAGCAGGCTCCAAAAACCTCGGGGAAAAGTTGGTGGGGGGCTTTGATTGTTGCTCTGTGTGAGTGAAGTGAGATTTGTCCAAGCCAGCTCGTGGCACGATCACGGTCCACCCGAGGCTTGGCCAAACGGATTGGCCTTTGCGCGGGCAAGCTCCGATGTTGAGCCGCCCCTCCTACCATATTTGCAAAAGGTGAGTTCCTTCTCTTGCCCAACTCGCCGCACCATCTTCCAGGGACAGACCCACAACCCGGGCTTGCGCTAATCAAATAATCTCAGTTCTGGGAAGGGCCGGCTTTTCTATCAAGGAGGCTCTGCGCAGCCTACCCGCTTTCTCTCCGTGGGTGCGGCTGCTCCCGTTCCTGCAGCCCCGCCAGGTGAGACCAAAGTCCTGGCTGGGTGGGGCCCTTGCAATTTCAAACACTCATCGGCGCCTCCGGCACCCCGAAGCTGAATCACCTTGGCGCAGCCCGGCTGATCTGCCTGGCACGGCAGCGGAGTGGCAGGGCACCAGGCAGAAGAGAAGCCTGTGTTGCCCTTTCCGGTGCCCTTGAATGAAACCGCTGTTCATCCCCGCAGGAAGAGATCACAGGTCTCAAGGCTTGTGTACAGATCTTGCTTGGAACGGCACAGGACTCTATTCTGCCACGGCCACCTTCATGTTCTTAAGTCTGAACTATTCCCAAAGGGTCTTCCTCTTCCTCCTCTGCTCTTATCTTCTCAACCATCCTGCGAGGTAGGCCTAAGATTCATCAGTCTGTTACATAGTCTGGAGGATAATTGCGTTTAACTAGGCGGAATAATTCACGGGGCGAGTAATTGTATTTAATGACGCTGGACATTTGGAAATGCTTAGCAATCATATCTTGGCTATTTCATCACACTTTTTAAGTTCCTACGGCTTCTGCAGCTGATGGGAAGAACACACAGATGAGTATTATTCAAATTAAACTGAAAACAAGCAAATGAAACGATACATATATTTGGACATTGCAAAGTGACTTTAAAAAAGGAGAGTGACAATAAACCCTGCAGGTGGTTTTATACGTTGCACTAAATCCTTAATGCGGATGGTTTGGTTTTGGGTGGGTGCATCAGGTGCAGAGCCAGCCAACTGTGGTTTATTCAGTAAACCATGGTTAGGGAAACATGGCTTTGTGAGATAGATAGCCAGAACCATAGTGAATTTGGAAATGAAATCTCCCCCCAAGAAGAACAAGAAATTGCATTCGGATATATTACCATAGGCAGAATAATGACTCCAAGAAATTTGATGATTTAAAAAAAAATCCCCCTTTTGTTGGAAAAAAACTCAAATTCCTGTCCATTCCCACTTGTAGATGCAGTTCACATGGCATGCCTTGAGTTTAACCATTTTAATCAGTGTTTCTCAACCTTGGCCACTTTAAGACACGTGGTCTTCAATTCCCAGAATTCCCCAGCCAGCCATGCTGGCTGGGGAATTCTGAGAGTTGAAGTCCACGCATCTTAAAGTGGCCAAGGTTGAGAAACACTGATTTTAATGGATCTATCTTATCTGTAATCCATCCTGCCTTCAGTTCCTCCATACAGTGACCAACTCTTACCCCACAACCCTGCAGGGTAGGCTAAATTACCCAAGTTTCCTCTTTAGCTTCCTCAGCTTCGCAGGTGGCTTAACCCAGCCTCCAGTATGGAGTTAAGCTTCGCTTCCCTTTGAAAGCAAAAACGTCCTGACTAAGGTTATTTTTCCACGGCTCGCCAGGAAATTCCCGTTGGAACCCACCTTCGGAAAACGGAGCATCTCCATCCTGCAATGGAAATGCTGGTTTCAAGCCGACTTCATCATTTCCTAACAGCCCGAGCGCCAGTCACACAGCACGTTTGCAATAATTTACCCCATTCCCTTTCTCGGGGGGTTCCTAAACCCCGGGGCAGGGTTTCGTGTGTTGTGTGAACCCAGACCATTGTGGCTTGGGTGGGAAACCAGGGTTAAGCAGACCCCGGTGCTGGGTATGATAGAAGCAGGCTATGGTTTACCATGACGTGGCAGCCAGCCACGCATAGATTGGTTCCCACGCTAAGCATTTTGAATGTATTTGCTCAAATCTCCATTTTAGGGCATCTCTCCTGCCCAAAGGAAACCCAGTTCCTGAGCATGTGTCGAAAGAAATGCTCCCCTTCCCCCTCTCTCCGTCCTAAGCCTGTGGTTAAGAATTCACAACCTAAATTGGTCTCTCTCTCGATGATGCATGCTAGAGTCTGTTTCTCAAATGAGTCACGCATTTCATTTGCCCTGTGAGCAATCCAGGGCGTTATTTTTTTTAAAAAAATGTTTATAGAGAGTGCACCAGAGCATGCACAGAATTCTCCCCCCCCCCCCCCAGGGCCCCCCCCCGCCCCCACCTTTGGGGCGCGTTTTTTATTTTTTTTTTAAAAAAATGTTTTTAGAGGGGGCACCCGAGCGTGCACAGAATTCTCCCCCCCCCCCCCCAGGGCCCCCCCCCGCCCCCACCTTTGGGGCGCGTTTTTTATTTTTTTTTTAAAAAAATTTTTTTAAAAAGGGCCCCAGAGAATGCCCAAAATTCCCCCCCCCCCCCCCAAGGGACCCCAGACGTCTGCAGCTTTGGGATGCGTTTTATATATCTATTTATAGAATAGACGCCTAGCAAAAGCGGGCAGGCACTCATCTTGCAAAAATGTAGGAATTATTTGCAGTTGAATTAGAGCACCCTGCTGGGGGAAGTGAGGTCATCCCTTGTGAAAAATGGCCTTCTGCTGCCCTCCACAGGCGCCACGGCATTGCTGCAAACCCGAATTTCGAGACTCATTCTTTCGACTCAAATTGCTGAGGATTGCAGACTCACCATATGCCTACCAGGCTCAAATCAGGTTGGGTGGTTTGTGGTTCGCCCTATCATGGGAACGCTACCAATGCCGGGTGACCGAAACTATCGCAAACCATATTACGGAATCACAGGATTTATTTAACTTTTTATGGGAAGTATAGAAACCAACCCAAAGAGAAAAAGGGAAACCGGTTAAAAGGAAGATGAATAAAGAAGGGATTTTTAAAAGGTCAAGGCGGTGAACGTTTTCCGATATACCATTAATAAATGAAGAATGACTGCATATAACGCTTGGCTTTAAATGACTAAAAATCGCTATTAAGCTTGAAGCAAGGAAAAATACCAAGGATCGTGGCCGACCCAGTATAAAACATCCCAGAAAATTATACTGAGACAAAAGAGAGTGTCTGTTCCACCTTAACAAACATCATGAATTTGAAGTGTGAAAAAAAACCACTAAAAAAACCCAAATTTTGGAAGAATTGCAAATCCACGTATCAAATTGGAAGGGGTCTTAAAACATTATCCAGCCTGTCCAGTCCAGAAATCCATTCCAGGGCAGCATCATTTATTTGTCGGGATATTACACCTTCTGCAAATAGCCACCCTCTTTTCTTCACCTGGGTTTAAAGTGTTGTGCGAACTCAGCCAGTTTGATTCAAGGTTGGCTAGTTTGTTTTCCGGCTTCCTCTGATTTTGGTGGATTTT